GAGGAGAGACGAGGCGAGACGCGGCGCGGCGTTCACATTCTCGCGTTTATTCAATCGGTATGACACCAGAATTTTTAGTGCGATTAAGTAACATTTTTTGTCAGAGTTTCTTTTTAGAAATAAACGAATAAAAAACTCACATAGTAATCGTATTTTCACCAGAAAAATAAAATTGTAACTAATATCTTGTTTGTTACGGTGTATAGATGTTATCCACCATCGCCTTCTTCGCCAAGGCTTTTTAATTTTATAAGTGTACAATATGTTATCAAAAATCATATACGCAAAGACGCATAAAGTCGCGGCACTTGCCACTTCGAGCACGTTCATTATGCTGGCGACATAGAGTGAATTGAACAGAGGCGAGAGTGAAGATGGATACTTTCTTGTGCCACCTCGTGTTGACTCGCCTCGCGTAAATTCGCGCAACCTCGCCTAGCCTAACTTCGACGAGAGTGAAGAGCTAGCATAATACAAGCAGAACACATATAGCAGCGTCACAGGTATCGCTGGACGCAGCAAGTTACTCGGTCCGATCGGGGCGACACCACACAGATTGTGACGGGCGGGTTTCCTCTTCTTCCTGTCCACAGTGATAAAACCCTCTTTGTCACATTTACGGTTTGGTGATTCAGCCGGAGTTGCACAACGGATGTCCTGGCTACCCTTATTCGCTGGATTAAAGGATTTTCGCTCAGGTTGCGTGATTTATTACATCTCTCGCAAGGAAGTCGCATTACATTTTTTATTGTTATTCGAAAATTCAGACCTTATCCCAAGACCTTAAGCATCAGTGGTTCAGTAGTAGAAAACTAGACAGCAACACGGGCGGCTCCGGTTCGATTCCCAGCCGAAGACGTACTTTTTCAAGAGAAACTTCTTTTCGGACGGAGTGGAAAGGGAAAAATCCTATGAAAAAGAAGAAACGGAAACGCGTCACGAGCGTCCCACGACTGTATATATATATTAGTGTGTGTGTGTGTGTGTGGGATGCGTGCGCAGCTCTTCCCGACGAGCATGAAAGTTGGAGGGTGACTCGACGAAGGCTGAAACGCTACTAGCGTCACGAGCGTCACACGCGATAATATATATAGATATATGTATGAGTGAAGCGTGCGCTGCCCCATTCCCCTATGCCTTATGCACCGCCTAATGTTAAGTTATTTAAGGAAAGAAGTTTCACTTCAGATGTGTGGTCCTTTTTTTTCACCAATTTTTTTTATTAATGATTCTAAAAGTTTCACTTGAACCGCGGTTTCATAGAACCACAGTAATTTTTCATTCGCTTTATTGTTGCTCTTAACATCTGGTGCACATACTCATAAAGACGACCTCCGTGGCCGAGTGGTTTGTACGCCGGGTTTCATGGTGTCGCCGACTCGAAAGGTCCCAGGTTCGAATGCCGGTGGGGGCAGATGTTTGTGTGATGAATACGAGCATTTGTACTCCAGTCATGGGTGTTTAATATATAATTTCTATAAAAATATACTTATATATGTAAAGTATATGTATTATATCCATTACCCTAGCATCCCATAACACAAGCCTTGCAGTGCTTACTTTGCGACTAGGCTAATTGGTGTGAGTGTTGGAAATATTTATTTATTTCTCTCACGCACCGTCCGACAATCCCATGTTGTTAGACGTAACATTCAACAATCACAGTCTCTATTATGAGTGAAAATCATACTCATCTTGAGTAACAGCAGTGAGAATATGAAAACAAACACTATCTATTGTTTTATAGCCTTCTAAGAAAGCTTAGCTCATCGGTTTGAAGGTTTTTCTTCGGTTCCCTATTGAGACAGAGATACCTCACTAAAATTCTACTAACATTATAAATGTGCCTACAATGCGCCTTCGCACCAAAATTCAAACTATTGGGTATTGTAACGTAGTGTTCTCATATGGGTTAGGAGGAATGTTATCCTAGGAAATTGATAGAATACTACGTTACACACCTGTAATTTTTTTTTTGGACAACATATTTTTTTTTATAATGTGGTGTAAATACATACAACCCTAATTTTCTCTTCTACCACCTGCCCCTATTTTTATGGCGGAATGAAGTTCGCTAGGTCAGCTAGTTTTTATATAAATGTTACTACCTCTGTTAAACACTGATGAGTTTCTTGCGCCACTTCTTCTCATCAGCTAAAAGATATCCTTAATGGGTGATAAGAAAAAATATTGGACGATTCAAAAAAGCTTTCAATAAGTTAGTATAGTTTCATTTCATTTCAAGATTTGTTAGTTCGTCGGCCCAGATAAAAAATCCTGTCAGATAACGGGAGCGTATTTTTTCCAGTAAAAATTTCAGCATATTTATAAAACAATAACAATATAAACATCATTCTATATTTGAAGTCAGGTAAAATCACTTTCGGTGATCAAAATCATTTTTAACTGCAAAAATCTGTCGGAACATTCTCCTGTCTTTTTTTGACAGTTAAAAATGGTTATGTGCACGTTATTTGACGGGTTATAGTTTGACTGGAACTGCCTTATTCCAGAATTTGGACTAAAGTTAGACTTGATTTAAACCTTATGTTGTCTCTGTCTTCTTTTTTTTTAATTCATAATAGGCAAAGCGTTTGGCCACAATCTAGCCTTATGGAAAGCGATGAGGAAGCCTAGGATGGTACACGCCTACCTAGAAGATGCCATTCACATCTTCTTTTTAGTAAACAACTTAGTCTGCGTTTCGTACAGTGCCGTCTTTGACCTATTGGAGGCCCTGGGCATATTAGGATAATAGGGCCCCTATGACCCCCGTTTGATGATCTAACAGGAACAAGGGACTTTGTATTTGATCTGAGGTGGGCCCCTATCGATCGCGGGGCCCTGGGCACTTGCCCAAAGTGCCCACCGCGAAAGAGGTGTCTGGTTTTGTAATAAGGCGGTATGAGGTTGACTATTGATCAACAAGTTGAATAGTTAACAGCAAGAGACATTTTGAAGTAAAACTTCCGAAATGAATGGGTTCAGTGTTCTGATTTAGCATACTTTTACGATATTGTAACGTAACCTTAATATGCATAGCTTAAAAAAAACAATTGTCATGTGCACCCAAGTCGAAAACTGTCCTCGAGCGTAGAAATCTGAGTTACGCAGACGAAAATAGTCGTAATTTTCAACGCCATAAGAGTCATGCTGGTTTCGTATATAATCCACAAGTTGCTAAACTAAAGTAGCGTTTATAAATAGTAGCAATAAAGTGTAATTTCGATTAAAGGATCTTGTAACAGTATGTTTCGTTTGTTTTAGTGATGAGTCGCTGGTACCGTTACTGTCTCATACATTGTAATGCTGATTGTAAAAGCAGTTTAATCCAGTTTCATTGTTTTATCACGAAATCCTGTCATATGGGTGTTTTTAACGTCGTGCGGATCTCGTCACGCACACGGGATTTCCCCGCATGCAGAGAATCTCACTCTAGTCCACGATCTAGTTTTCTGTAAGCTGATATGCACTTTGTTTGGTTACAATCTTAGATTGAAACAAAAATGGAAGATACGGTACGCTCATACTAGCATCAAATAAAATAGGGGCTCGAAAGGGGGGGAGGGGTCCATAAAAAAACACGAAATATCAGAAGGGGGAGGGGGAGGGGGTAGTAATATATCACGTGTATTTTCGTGGTCCGAGGATACTCTACATTAAATAATGATCATGTGTAAGTTTTTCGCACTTATTTCATTATTTTTATGTAAGTCAAAAACAACCTGCAACATTGATACTTTATACCTGTATTTTATAAATATTTTCAACAAAATAATAATATACTAAAAAATACACGTGATATGGGAGGGGGGGAGTTAGTGTTAAACCTCACCATGTATCACCAAGGGGGAAGAGGGGTCAAAAAACGCCAAAAAAAACCTCACGTGATTAATGAACAGCCCCATATGTTCCAACTCAACTGCATAAGCAAATCTCACACACGCACACGTCTGTAAATAAACATTCAATCGAGCGAGCGAGACAGAACTGTACGCTTCAACGCAGCGCTAGCGAAACGACGAGTCCGCGGCGCTTGGCTTTGCGACTGCGTTTTCTTTTCTCTCTCTTTCTTTTCTCTCTCTACAAACGGCTGAGCTTTTCTTGATAACAAATGGCGAAAAAGTAAATAATATTCATGACAAACCGTAATTTTTGAGTTTCTTTTTTATCATTGTTTTATGAATGAAAAGTGTTGCCGTGAAATTTGTTATTTGATCTTGAACTATTTGTGTTCTTTATAAAAGCATCGAAGGCATTGTTTTATCTTTATAACACAGACTATACGCAAATTTGTTATATTGAGTGCACATGCAGCGTGTTTGAATGTCCAATTGTGACTAAAGCGAATTGCGGTCATGCACCACAATTTATGCGGATCACTTTTGAGCCGCGAGTGCCGTATCTTCCCTTTTTGTTTTAATCTAAGGTAACAATGGACAGTATACTCAGAAAAATATTGATCACATATTTAATTCACAAAAAACGGAAAAAGAAGTCGAGTAAATCCTGTTATTTGAAAAGAGAATTCTAGCTAGAACTCTGGTTTTCTCTTATAAGACAAGACGCACGCGGACGCCCTGCACCCCGTATTATTCCGCGCATTATGCCGCAGTAGCCGCGTCCAGAGCAACCGAGCATGGCAGGTATTGGCTCGCGCGGCAGCTTCGCGAGCCAATGCCTTGGCCTGTGTGGACGTGGCTCGGACTGTCTCGGGCACACGTTGCCTAGGCCGACCGCCGCTCGACCGCGAACCATAATTTTGCCGATGCTCAAAGGCGCCTCAGCAACTTTGCCAGTTCCGAGGGGATCTCCGGTATTTCTGAAATTTCTCCGATTCTTCTGTTTTTATACATAAATTTACTGATTTTCTTAGAATACCACTTTCTCTTTAAATTGCATGTTGAGTTGAATTTTAGGTTTTAGATGGTAGCTGCATCAGGCAGGCCATGTGCTCGTTTGTCACATTTTTAACTTAAAATAAAATAATAATGTCGCAGGTCCCATGCACGACAAAGTCGTGGTGTGCTACGTAGCGTCCTGGGCGGCGTACAGACCTGAAGCGGGCAAGTTCCTACTGGAAGACCTGGAACCAGCCCTGTGCACACATTTGGTGTACTCGTTCGCTGGCCTAGACGAGGAGAAGATGTCCATCAAGAGTCTTGGTAAGAAACAAATGATGACAGACAGTTAAATACCAAACAATTTTTGTGCTTCTGACTATTGGTAGATACGCTTGACGCTACATCAAATCACATTGACTGCTAAAGCAGTCAGATTGTACTAAAGTACAATCTGATATTACAGTCACGCACATATTGCGCGATAAATGAGAAGTCATTTTTCAACCTAATGACTCTGTTTAATAAAGAGAGAAAAAATAGCCCTTGCTGAGTTTCCTGCCGGTTCTTCTAGACATTCATGAATGCTTGCAACAGCATAAACTGAATAAAGTTTAAATTTAATTAAAATTTGAAAAAATAATTTTCCAGATGCTTGGCAAGACTTGGAAAAAGATTACGGAAAAGGTGGCTACAAGAGACTGGTCAGCCTAAAGAACCGGTACCCACATCTGAAGGTAACAATCGCTATAGGCGGGTGGAATGAGGGCTCCTTGAAGTATTCAAAGATGGCCGCCTCGCGAGAATACAGGGAGAAGTTCATACAAAGCGTGCTGAACTTCTTAGAGTGAGTGTACAGCCTTTTTGTAGTTAAAAATGACAATGTGCTTGTACCTAAATCATTGCTATTTTTTTTAAATGAAATTCATTTTCGGACGGGGTGTGTAAATGGAATAATCCTATGGAAAAGATGAAATGGAAATGCGTCACGAGCGTCACACGATTCTATATATATATATCTAACTAGCCAACCAGGCAAACTCCGTTTCGCCATCAGATGGCTTCGTTTTATGTAACATTTCGTTTGGTGATTAAAAGAAGATTTTTTTTTTTTGAAATTTTTCCTGAATTTTCTTTGCTATAAACCTCACGGAGCCCGAGACCTTTCCAACGAATGCAAACCCGTGGAAATCGGTTCGTGCATTCTGGAGTTATAGCGTCAGGAAGGAAAACTCGACTTATTTTTATATAGTAGATATATAAAATTCTCGTGTCGCGGTGTTTGTGGTTAAACTAACCACAATTCGGTGGAAACGGCTTTCCCGATTCTCATTAAATTTTGTGTGCCTATTGGGTAGGTCTGAGAATCGGACAACATCTATTTTTCATCTTCCTAAATGTTAAGGGTAATCCACCCCTATTTTTTTTTCAATTTTAATTATTTTTTTTATGATACATTAAACAAAAATACATACAATCCTAAATTTTCACCCTTCTACCACCAACCCTTATTTTTTTATGGCGGTACGAAGTTCGCTGGGTCAGCTAGTATACATATATATATATATATATATATATATATATATATATATGTGCGTGTGCGTGTGAGTGGGATGCGTGCGCAGCTATTCCCGACGTGCATGAAAGTTGGAGGGTAACTCGGCGAAGGTTGAAATGCTACTAGCGTAGCGTCACACGCGACAATATATATGAGTGATGCTCTGCTCCATTCCCCTATTCCTTATGCTACGCCTAATGTTAGGTTATTTAAGAAAAGAAGTTTCACTTTAGATGTGAGCTCCGAGCGCACTAATATTTTTTTTGTTTGCAGCCAATACAAGTTCGACGGGTTGGATCTGGACTGGGAGTACCCAGCGAGAAGAGACGGCCGCCCAGAGGACAAAGCCAACTACGTTGAGCTCGTCAAAGTACGTAACGACACGATAACCTACTAATGCTACAAACATCATCATCAGCCTATTAATGTCCCCACTGCTGGGACACAAGCCTTCCCTATGGATGGAATAGGGAGATTGGGCCATGACCCACACCGCGGGCCGAGTGCGAATTGGCGGGTGCTAACGACTGCAGATGCAGCCGGGACCAACGGCTTAACGTGCCTTCCGAAGCACGGAGGAAATCGAGATAGTAAATTTTTGGTCACCCATCCAATGACCGACCACTGCGAAAGTTGCTTATCTTCAACAATCCCAGCCGAACGCACTAACCACCCGCCATAGAGCTCCTCGCTACAAATATAAATAAATAAATATTTTCAACACACATCAATTAGCCTAGCACCAAAGTAAGCACTGTAGGCTTGTGTTATGGGAAACTAGGATAACGGATAGAATACATACATATATTACAGGGTCATGTACTATCACTAAGAACATAGCATACATACATGATAGCAAATAAATTAATTAATAGGTCTATTTATATAGAAATGCATATTAAACATCCATGACTGGAGTACAAATGATCGTATTCATAACAATAACTAAACACACTATTCATCACATCACACAATTCCAAAAATTGAGTTGCTTAATCGCAAAAAAAGGTCTCAAATCTTCACGAAATCTTAACAGATCGACGCAGAAATAAAAACGATGGGTTGCACTCCGGGAGTGCCAGCAGAAGTGAAAACTTGAATATTAACGTTGTGCATTTTTGATATTTTGGAATGGTTAGGGAATAATTTTGCACGAATTGCTTTAATTACCAGTATAAAAGTACTATCATTTAAGTGGTAGAATACAATATTTATTTATAGCGCTATCGTACACAAACATGACAATTTATATAACATTAAAAAAGTTTATCTCTCAGAAAAGTCAACTTACATGAATCAAGTTTAAGGGCAATTAGGGACATTTATTGTAAAAAAATCAACTTACATGAATCACATTTAAGCTCTCCTAGCGACATCAATTGTAAAAAAAATGCATTTTCTTCGCAGTAAAGCTGCCACCTGGACGTCCTAGATAGAAACTTACTATAATAACACGATAAAATAAAACTTTACTATGTTTCGTCCAATATATTGAAAGCATGGAGCACCGTGATTGAAAGTCAACAACCTTTCAAGTTTTATTGTTTTCGTTACATCCCCGATCAGGCCACGTGTCATGACGCGATCAGCCCACGTGTCCTGGCGCGAGTTTTACATTTCTTAACCCATACAAAAAAAGTGTACAACGCCGCTAAAGATGTTTTCACTACAAAAATCTGATTCAAATGACATTATTATACATAACTCATTTTCGATCAAAGTGGCGTATAACCTTTCCACTATCGTATGATCATCACAATTTTATTCTCAATTCGCAGGAGTTGAGCGATGCATTCAAACCAAAAGGCTACATTCTCACTGCGGCACTAGGCGCTGGTAAGGAGACCATGGACGCCGCGTATGACCTCGCCAAGCTGAGCCGATACCTCACCCTGATACATATGATGTGCTACGACTACCACGGCACTTGGGACGGGAGGGTGGGAGCCAACGCCCCCCTCAAAGGAGTCGACGAAGATGATGTCTTGAGCGTGGCAAGTATCTTTGATTTATCACTTACATGCCTCAGACACAGTTTATTAGTTTTAATTAATGAATCAAATAATATTAGGTATATCTATATATATAAAACTCCAAGGTTTAAAGGATTGACATAGTGATCTATCAACGCACAGCCCAAACCACTGGACGGGCTGAAATTTGGCATGCAGGTAGATGTTATGACGTAGGCATCCGCTAAGAAAGGATTTTGATTAATTCTACCCCCAAGGGGATAAAATAGGAAATGAAAGTTTGTATGAAACTTTGTCAATTTTAAACCGATCGGGCTGAGACTTTACATGCAGGTATAAAAAGAATCATAGATAGATGAATGTCATTGTGTATAATACAAGCCTGAGAACAAAAACTGTAGTCTACACTTCAGCTCTACACCGAAGCGAAGCGAGGGCGGCCCGCTTGTTTATAAATAAATTAAAGCAATTACTGATTGAGAAATGTTATTATAATTAAAGTGATTATTTTGGGGACAAATTTATTAAAAATAGTAAATATTTTATATCACACTTCACACTAATACTATAAAGGCGAAAGTTTGTGAGTGTGTATGTTTTTTACTTCTTCACGTCTAAACGGCTGGAGCGATTTTATTAAAATCTGGTATGGAGTTACCTGACACCTTAGATTAACATATAGGCTACGTTTTGCTGCGGGAAAATATCCATAATAAACCGCGGGTAAGCGGGCCAGAGGGTATTATTTTAAATAAAACTTCAAACTTGTATTAATCCGAACGGGCAATAGGGTATTAACTTAACCTAATACTGTTTAGAATACTCACAATCATAATTTTGCCTAGAAATTGACGACATGTGTTGCTATATTTCAAAAACTATTTTGAATTAAAATACAATTATCTTACCAGTTTATAGAAAAAAAAATAGTTTTCATAAAGCAAATAAAAAAATAAATGGTTTTGCCGACTTAATACCCTATTGTTTGTGACGTGCGATATGTAATAAAGAGCTTTCTCTATCCTTACTCCTTATTATGGTCTATCATTTTTGTGTTACACCTTTTATGTACATACTAGCCGTGCCCCGTGGTTTCGGAAATACCGAGATAAAATATATAGGTATCAACTCTTAACATCTTACACACGTGATAACTTTTAAACGAAATATCCGATTGAGATGAAACAAAAAGTATTTTACTTCTACATAAATACTCTTGATAACATAATGCTTAATTTCGATGAAGATTAATATTACGATACATATTTAACGTAGTTTTTTTTGTTCAGACGATTTAATAATTATTTTGAACACAAAATCGGATATTGTGATTAAACCATGATAGCTAGATATGTGTTCTCGCGGACTTTTTTGTAGGTCTTGATGGGATCTACAAACCCGTAGTACATCATTTTGTTCTATTGTCAATAGTTTTTGCAGCGCACGCAAAAATAGGTTTTCGATTTTGCACCTTGTGTTACAAAATAGCAATTTTATTACGGATCCCTAATTTTGAAAAAAAAAATATAGCCTATAGCCCTCCTCGATAAATGGACTACCCAACACTGAAAGAATCATTCAAATCGGACTAGTAGTTCCAGAGATTAGCGCGTTCAAACAAACAAACAAACTCTGCAGCTATAAAATATAAGTATAGATAAGCTTCAGTCATATATGAAGCCATTTTGTTGAGATAAATACCTACGCGTCAAATAGCGTAAGGGTTGTCTTCTAGTTTTTTTTTTGTATTTTTTTAAATTAAATTTTTTTGTTTACTTATTATCTCTGATACTTAGGTCTTTTTTGTAATAACTAGCTAACTTTTAACACAAAAAAAGAGCAACACCTAATATACTGCTACGGATCTCGTAGTACAGAAAATTGTTTTAACAAACTCATTAGGAATGCATTATTAAAATAACAATACCTTGCTACGAGACAAAAATAAAGATTTGGTTCATTCGACGAGAGTAGATTGAAAGGAATTTTGTTATTTACCTCTTGTTTTCAGGATTATACAATCAACTACATGCTGTCCCACGGTGTGAGCCCATACAAATTAGTCCTCGGTTTGCCCATGTACGGAAGAACGTTTATATTGAAAGAGCCATCGGTGAGAGACATAGAATTCGGCAGGACTACGGTTCAAGCCGCCGGGTTCAAGGGACCTTATACTGGTGAAGCCGGATTCATGGGGTATAATGAGGTTCGTTAATTGTTTAATTATTTATTTAATAACTCTCTATTGTTGTTTTACAACAAATGGCGGACTTAATGCCACATGGTATTCTCTACCAGTCAACCATCGGGCTAAGCAGAGACATTATACTCTGAGGATCAAAGGATATTATCGAGTCGAAGATTACTTAAATGATCGAAGTATCTATGAATAAAGAACACTTCGCTCACTGAAGTAAGGCAGTCTTTTCATTAAATTCACAAGTAACTGTGTAACACATAACTAATTAATGTACCTATCTAATTAATTGTATTGATAGCGACATGATTTTATGTAAATTTTGCTACTTCTTTTAATGCTGATAAGTTTCTTGCGTCCATTCTTCTTATCAGCTAAAGATGTCCTGAATGGTGGTAGAAAAAATATTGGACTATTCAAAAGAGCTTTCATTTCATTATTTAACAAAAAGTGTCACTTTAAATAATAAATTATAAGTAATAAATTAAAATGTTTGCATGTTATTTTCACTGCTGTGGCCCAGTCACAGAACACAGAAAGAGGTTAGAAAGACCTTGTGGGCGAGGCAGGCGCGCCACAGTTATGTGTAACAAATGCTAATAGCTCGACCAACAATTGGTTCGGATTGCGTCGTTGCTGTCGGGTGTGAGCGCTGATTGGTTCGATTGTTTGATGTCGCGTCGTTTGATTGGTTATTATCTATTAGGTGGAAGTGTAGTGGGGGCGAGCCGGCGACATCGGTCCTCGTATAAACGGTCTGTGACCACCCTTCTGACCTCTTTCTGTATTCTGTGGGCCCAGTTGACATATTCGCATGCATTTTTATTAATATTTACAGTGTGTGACTAAAAAGAAAATTACATATCCATCGATGCTTTTCAGTACAAGTGTCATAGTGACGTTATTATAAAGCAATTGCGGATCAGTAAATGGCTTGGTGATTATTACTTTCATCTATCAAAAACTAACGTAATCAAAGTCAGACACATTTTAATAATAATTTGAATATGCGTTATTTATAAGTTTGCGTAACAGACTCGCATTTGATCGATTCTTTAACCTTATTTTATTGAAATGAAATTAATATTTATTCAAATTAGCTAGCTGAAAGCTCTTTTTAGTTATTTAAGACATCTCCAGATAATCATAGCGAATTGCGTTGAACTTAAATATTCCTTGCGTCGATGCTACACCATAACACTTACCGCACTTATATCATGAATAACTATTGCAGATTTGCCAAGAGGTCAGTAATAAGTCATCAAAATGGACGCACCATTGGCACTCGCAGTCGTCCACGCCTTACCTCAGAGACGGGGAGAGGGTCATATCTTACGACAACGCCCGGTCCATAGCCATCAAAGTCAAGTAAGGATATACATATCTGAATATTTATTATTTATTCAAGTACAATATATGATACTATTTAATTGCTAGTAGTATTTTAAACTAAATTAATATTATTGTCTCGACTTGCTGATTTAAGAATATAATAATTGTGAGGTGGTGGCAGAATACCAGCGACAAGTCAAAACTTGACTGTCACATGCTGAGCCACATACCTTTTTGTTTCAATCAAAATTTACTCTCATTCTATTTTTGCATTGTACCAATTGTATATTGAAACAAATAAATAATTTATTTTTATTATTTCTAATGGCTCAATTACACTTGGTCGTTAAAGACATTACTCGAATTCGGGCACCCGAAGAAATATTTACACTGGAATACGGGCTGAAAGCTTAGATTAATAAAAAGGGAAGATACGGCATTCGCGGCTCAAAAGTGATCCGCTTAAATTGTGGTCCACGACCATAATTCGCTTTAGTCACAATTTGACATTCCAACACGCTGCATGTAAACTCAATATAACAATAATACATATATTCTGTGTTATGAAGATAATGTATTAACAATACCTTCGATGCTTTTATAAAGAACACAAATAGTTCAAAATCAAATGCCCCGGCAACACTTTTCATTCGTAAAACTGTGACAACATTTTTTTCTCAAAAATCACGGTTTGTCGTGGATATTATTTACGTAATCGCCATTTTGTAAGCAAGAAAACAATACGCTGCGTTGAAGCGTATAGTTCTGTCTCGCTCGCTCAATTGATGTTTATATACAGACGTGTGCGTGGCGACAGTTGCTTATGTAGTTGAGTCGGATCATATTTTATTTGATGCTAGTATGAGTGTACCGTATCTACCCTTTTTGTTTTAATCTAAGGCTGGAAGTCGGTGTCGGGTAACCAAAACGAAAACTACCCGAATACGGGCGTACCCTACTCCGTTCATTTAAACTAAGTCGTTTACCCCAAAACCATTGGCAATCGTATTCGGGCTCACGACCAGGTGTAATTGAGCTATAGCACTCACACCAATTAGCTTAGTCCCAAATTAGGCTTGTGTTATGGGACACTAGGGTAACGGTTAGAATAATATACTTGACCCACAAAAAAACATTTTCCTCGCCAACCAGCTTGTGGGAAAACAACCTTAGGTACAAATACTCGTATTCATCATTCAAACATTTGCCCCACCGAGATTCGAACCCGGGACCTCTGAGTGAGCGACACCTTGAAATCCGCCATACGTATGTACACTCGGTTACCTATGGAGTTTGTAAAATTTCGAAATTTTTGTTTTCAGGGCAGCCATAGACTACGTTCTACGGAGGTCGTAAAATTTAGAATGTTTTGTTTTCAGGGCAGCTATAGACTACGGTCTACGGAGATCGTAAAATTTAGAATAGTTTGTTTTCAAGGCAATCACAGACTACGGTCTACGGAGGTCGGAAAATTTTAGAATGTTTTGTTTTCAGGGCAGCCATAGACTATGGTCTAGGAGGTCTGATGGTGTGGAGCATAGACACGGACGACTTCAAAGGCGCGTGCGAGCATGAAACGGACGCTTTCATAGATTTCGAGCACAGATACAGTAAAATGGTGGACGACCCCCTACTACGTGAGGCGTTGAAAACACTGAATCTACCCGACAGTAAGTACGATATGAATAACCTAATACCTACTTAGACAACGAATCCATATTATGGAAATAAGAAAATTGATAGGATGAGATACTCTGATGATTATTTTTTTGGACGGGAAAAAGAACTAAATAAAAATTATATAAAAACAATGTTAAAAAAGTACCTAGGTATAGCATTAACCGGTGTGTGTGTGCGTGTATGTGTGTTAGTGTGTATTTATATGTACCTGTGTGTGTTGCTCTATCGCTTTTATCCTAAATAGGCCGTAACGCAACGGGCGTTACAGTACTTATATATATTTTTACAAGCATATGTCCCGCCTGATGGTAAACGGCCACCATAGCCTATGTAGACGCTTGCAATACAAAAAATATCACTCGAATCGTTGCCTACCCTGACCCAATCCCTTACCCTAACAGACAGACAGACAGATAAAAATTGTAAAAAATATATATATATATATATATATACCGTATATATATTCATATGCATTTAGTAAAAAGCGGTTATTTCAATATTACAAACAGACACTCCAATTTTATTTATATGTATAGATTTATAGATAAAAATCTTTGCAGCGAATCGTCTCAGCAAACGTACTGCCTACTCCGTGTCTAACGGCCGACTGAACTTACGCATACCGGAACCGCAATACTCAAACTACCCTCTAATGGAAACCATAAACTCGGCGGCCATGTTGGCGGTAGAAGAGAAGAGAATACTCGACGAGATGGAGATGATCAACAGACAGAACGTCATAGAAGATGAAGAAGACAAGCCCGGCTCTTCTAGTAGAATAGCGGGTGGTTTTGCTGTTCTGTTCTGTGCTTTGGTTGCCTTTAGATTGTAATTTTGTTGCTTAAATTCGTGTAGTATAAGGTAGCTGAGCATAACCACAGACAAATATACTTGCGTAGTAGACACAAACCTAGTTCGGAATTCGAATAGTTGAATTCGATCTCAATATGTGTCAAATGTGAAGAAGTTTTGTATAGCCACAACAGCGCCACAACGGACATGACGAGAATTAAAAATCTTCCATGCAAGACTTTTTTAATAAAAAGTCTAATTATCGAGTATTCGAAATAGAAAGTCATATGAATTTGTGATTCTTATTAGCATTTTTCATGGGAATTGAAAAAGCAGCCTTTTTTTATTTTTACATTTACAAATTGTTTTTTCTCCTTTGACATCAGTGTTATCAATGTAAGTTCAAGGACCTACAAAAAGTTTATATCTAGTAATATTGATAACATTGTAAGTTTTCTAAACACTGCCTTCGGTTTTAATAAGTAATTTTATTACTCCTGGACTAATAATACTACTATAATAATAGTTCTAATAATACTAACTTATTAGTACTATTATTAGCAGTTCTAGGACTATATAGAGTTAGTAAGAACTACAGTAAAGTATTTTAAGATCCACAGACCAATAAATAAGACTGTAGTAAGGATTTGTAAATGCAGTACCTATGTATTTAATTTGTAATTTAGCATTTAGATTCATAAAAAAATCATGTTTGTACATAAATGTGTTAAGAAAGTATCTTAAAAAGATTCATTAACGAGCAATATATTTGTGATCTCTACAAATATGTGACATGTATATGATAAATTGCTATGTATATCGGTTTTAATAGTGCCCATGCGCGGATTTCAAGATTTATCAAGTGAGGCAGAATAACATTTGGGGCCCAACCTTGCACCTTGGGAAGCCACCATACCTGAGCCCTTTATGTAGTGTCGAAAGTCTAGGGCAGGCCAAAAAATATTTAAACAATGGGCTATGATATTTGGTAGTGTCCATATCGTCAATCTTTTGAATATGAGCTGCTGGTGGGTGATCACGCAACGGTTCAGATGACGGAAAAATATTAATCTGCCGGTTTGCGTGGTGTGGGGGTGGCCGTACGAAGGGTTACAAAGAATAATCGAACTCGTCAGACATTGAGAAGGGATTTGACATTGTGGGTTATCTACAATACGAAGAGATAGCGCTGCCTAAGAATATGGCCTAAGAAATGCTAGAGAAAATTTGACACGGCCACCAGGGCCGCGGTAGCATAATGGTCTGTTCATTCGCCCGGATAGAGAAGAGTGCGGGTTCGAGCCCCGACTTCTGCCTGGTCCACGTGGATTTTTTTCTAGTAAACTTTCTTTCGATGACGTGAACGGTCCAGTAGTTCATATTCCCATTGCATATGTCCATGCAGCTTTTTATTTAAAAATTGACTATATAACTTTGTTTCCCTTTTTCAAACGAAGGAAATGCATTCACCTTACTATAATATGAAAATTCATTTGGCGTGATTTTATTTAATTTTTTAAATCTAAGGAAACAACCGTAAATTCGCATTTAAATACAAAGTATGTCGAATACAAATTATTCAAACTCGATGTTTCGATTAATATTTTTAAGAGTAATTACTTAAGTACCTACCACCCATTGTACTCATTATGGTTGCAATAAATTATCTGAGTTTGAATTATAGTCTGAATCTTAAGTGTTCTTAAAAATAACTAAAGACTTTATTAATACTCAATGTTTTATAGAATTCAATAATAGGAAAATATAAAATTATGTTCCTTACATCTGTTTGATATAATATCCGCTTCTATTCAGTAGTTGAATTGGACATCGAATGGAACTACAGAGAAGAAGCAATAGTGTCTAAGATATTCATAAATATTTTATATTGTCGCATTAAGTATTTTTTTTATATAATTTGGAAATAAAAACTTTTAAAAAAAAAAATTATCTTGTTCTAATTTATTAACGTTTAAATTGCAATAATCGTGGGGTCAAGTGGGGGACAGTGTAACAAGAGGCACAATGTAACAAAATTATGTCTCCTTCCCCCACGCCTCTTCCCATTTCCTCCTCATATATTCCAGAAATTAAACAATTACTTTTTATAAATAATTTAATTACAACAATTTCGGTTTATTTATAATTTGTTGCGTATGAAACTAACAAGATAAATATGATAGCAAAGAAATAAATATTACTGACTATAATAAATAAAAATTAAAACTTAAGTAGGTATTTAGTTAAATCACAGGTCTTCAAAGGGAGATCCGCAGCGTACATTGTAGAAATGGTCGCACACCTGAAATTAAACATTATTAGGTATTTATGTATTCGTGAATTATTTATTTGAAATCTAAAAAAAATATTAGTTAATATTTTTGCTGCTGTGGTCAGGCTTAGCCATACACTTCTCTGCCACTCTTTTATCATAAAAAATAAAAACTCTCATGCAGTGCTGGGAGCGAAAGAAAACTAGACTGTGCCATCGTTTTTAGTCAAAAACATCAAGGAAATGTACTAAACGAATTTTCGGCTGGCCGCGTGGTGACTGTGACGTCACCGAGCTCTAGTACTCGGGAGCGAGCGTGCGTAGAGATGCTACTAAAGTTTGACCGGAATGAATAACAATCGAGCTCTGTGACGTCATACGTTTCGACCGCCGGGAAATACTGGCTACCATAAAAGCTTATATATAAAATTCTAGTGTCTCAATGTTAGTTACCATACTCCTCCAAAACGGCCTGACCGATTCTTATGAAATTTCATAAGCATAATCCGTGGGTCTGAGAATCGGCTACTATCTATTTTTCATATCCTTAAGTGATAATGGTTGTCCACCTGTAACGTAGTGTTCTGAAACCTACAATGCGCCTTCGCGCCAAAATTCAAACTATTGGGTATTGTAACGTAGTGTTCTCATATGGATTAGGAGAAATGTTATCCCAGGATATTGATAGAACACTACATTACACACCCCTAAAATTTTTTTTCGGATTATATTTATTTTTTTATACCGTGGTATTAAAAAAGCATACAACCCTTTTTCTCTTCTACCACCTGCCTCTATTTTTATGGCGCTACGAAGTTCGCTGGATCAGCTAGTTAGTTATAAAATTGCAACGAATGAACCGATTTCGATTATTAAAAAGTATATTAATTAAAAAGCTTATTAGATAATTATACTGTTCATCATGACTTAATTTGCTGACCTAATAATGATCCTCATTAAGAAGCATTATTAATGCGTCCAAAGTTTGGAAATAGCTACAGTTTTAGGTATGTTTTTAATTACTATTTTATGTGCGAAACTCAACCTATTGTAAAAACCTCTTTGTGGTTTGTTCACCTTTTGACTCACAAAAGGATGAGTAGAGTATAGATGGTATAGATAATAAGATGCAGGAAGGCCTCTGTTCTCATAGTGCGTATGAAGTGACCAGTGCAGGAGTATTATCTGATTTGAAATGGGATAGGACTTTTTATATCCGGAAAATGCCTTACGCATCCTTCAACCACCGGCGGAGCGAGATGAAGGTATCTGGGACTCCTCCCTGCTCCTTTTATCCAGCGCTGGGCTCGATGAAATGAGCAAGGCCCTACCTAGCACCCTAAACAGGGCCAGTAAAAACCAGACAATACTCCTGCACTGGTCACCCGACACGCATTGTGAGGACTGAGGTCCCCCTAATGCGTGCCGGTAGTACGGGTGTAGACCGTTTCCGACTGGCCACGCACCCGCAGGTGATTGGCTGCAAGAAGACCCCACCCGATGAGGATGCCGCGGAGCATCAAGGGCACCAACTACCGGGGCAAGGCCTTTCACATTTTCTCGAGCCTTTGGGCTGGGTGAAATGGTCTGGGAGGAGTCTTCAAATACCCTGTTCGTGCTACTTCCGGTGTTCCAGGGTGGCGTAACGCCTTTTTCAGATGTAAAAAAGGTTATTGGACAAGTACACGATAATGCGAGAAGAGATTTATGATCTCCTATCTCTATCTCTCTATAAGCCAGTCTTTCTCAAAGTACTTAATAACGCCACCTTAGGTGCTCTAGTCCTGCAAGAGCGTTCAAGATCTGATCAAGATCTAATATAAAGGAAATTGGGGTGTTTTACTTCTAATATATTGAAATAAAATGCAAGTAATAAAAATAACTAAAACAATTGCAGTACGACCTACAACAACTCAAATATAGAAGTCATTGACTGTACTGTTTAATTATTAAATGTATATTGCTATATTTTAACAATTTCGGAATTTTAAAACGTGGTAAAGTTAATAATCTTTGTAGGTGCTAAAATTGACCCTTGAAGTTTGCAATGGAAATAGACAAAATAAAATCGGGAACATACTCTAGCCTATAACTAACGCTCTTGGTAACATGCATGGCGTTGAGTACTTTATCTACTGATTTAAATAACAATTTACCTGGAATTGTTCGTTGAAAAGTGTTCCATTGGTACACAGATCTGTACTGACTAATCTCTGTCGCCAGCAAAAGTGATATGCCTGAAAAATAAAGATGATTAAGAAAAGATATTTCTTATTTCAAGAATTTAACTGTCTAGCAGTTAGTTGTTTAAATATAAAGAAAAAAATACTAGCTAAATTAAGTTAAGGGCCCTACTTCACCAAATAGAGCATAGGTTTCAGTGGCCTAATATATTTTAGTTCGTAAATTTTTAGGTGATTATGTTATGTTAAGGTCGCGGGAACCAGCTGCAGCGCTAGATGCTAAGCCCAGGACCGATCGATATGGGGAACTTTGGGGGAGGCATATACTCAGCATTGGGCGTCGTGCGGCGCATTGGTGGTTGTTAGGCAACGGCATGAATATTTATATTTTTAATGGTGTTAATTTTTTTATATCTCAAACGTCTATAGGCTATGGTGACTGCTAACCATCAGGCGGGTCTAACGCTTTTTTTGCCACCCTTTTAACATATTTGTTTTAACTGTACAAACCTGGCATCCCGCGTGGACGTCAGCATAGTAGCCTCTACTGCGTCCGTGGCAAGTGAACTCCGTAATTGGCGGCTGGGAGTACACAGGGTGGAGGGGCGGGTCGTGCGGTAAATGCAACTCGTGGTAATAATCATGAGGCAAGAGTTGGCTCACGGTCGCCGCTATAACTAAAGCAAATAAAAAAATCATTTTAAGCTGAGCATTGGCGGTCAGTTTTTCACGTTAGTTTAATCGATGTCCATCCAAAATTTGATCGTGAGTGTCGAATCATCACTCCAGAGTTTTAACGTTTTTCCGTGACTACCATAATCCAGCCCGGCGTGCCACGCCAAACTGCCCTTGAGTGTGTATTTTCATTCCAATGGCATCCGTTTGCCCGCTATTCTTGTTTTTTGGTGAAGTTATGGCAAGAAACATTAGCCCCAGTGAAAGTCAAAAGTCAAAAAATCTTTATTCAAATTGGATGCTCAATACATACAACTCTTTTGAAATTGTCCATATTTTTTCCCTACCACCAAGAATTCATGTTTATTCTTTGGAATCAGAATTTTTGAAGTGAAAACTTCTTTAGCGGCGTTGTACGCTTTTTTGTAATGGGTAAAAACTGTTAAACTAGCGTCAGGACACGTGGCCAGATCGTGTCATGTCACGTGGCCTGATCGCGTCCGGACACGTGACCTAATCGAAAATTCGTAAGACGAAAACAATAAAATTGGAAAGGTCAATATGAATTGGACCAAAAAATAGTAATATTTTATTTAATCGTATTATAATAATAAGTCTCTCATTAGGACGTCCAGATAGCAGCTTTATTGCGAAGAAAAATATGCATTTTTTTACAATAGATGTCGCTAGGTGCTCTTAAATGTGATTCATGTAAGTTGTTTTTCTGAGAGATAAACTTTTTAAGGTAATATATATTGTCATGTTTGTGTACTATAGCGCAATAAATAAATATTGTATTCTACCACTTAAATGATAGTACTTTTATACTGGTAATTAAAGCAATTCGTGCAAAATTATTCCCTGACCATTCCAAAATATCAAAAATGTACAACGTTAGTATTCAAGTTTTCACTTCTGCCGGCACTCTCGGAGTGCAACCCGTCGTTTTTTTTTTTCAACATTAATATTTAAGGTAATGCATATTTGACAGCCGCCCGGGCCGATCGAAAACTCAAGAGCCGGAGTAACGCTAGTGAGTGGCGAAATCTAGTTGGCCTAACTAAACCATTTGGGATGGCGCCACAGTTTTACTTCTAGACTGACGCTAAAAACTGACTGTTTTTAAAAAAGCTTTAGAACAAACAAAATACATGTATAATACTCTATACGAAAAAATACATTATGTATAATACTCTAAAATAGAGAACTTATATAGTTTTTAATGCGATAGTATAGGACACAAACGACACGATGAAGCGCACGCACAATACGCCACACTAATATTATAAAGGCAAAAGTTTGTGAGTGTGTATGTTTGTTACTTCTTCACGTCTAAACGGCTGGAGCGATTTTAATAAAATTTGGTATGGAGTTAGCTGACACCCTGGATTAAACAAAGGCTACGTTTTACTGCTGGAAAATATCACTAATAAACAGCAGATAACACATCGGGGCACGGCTAGTTTGTCATAAATACGACCACTGACTTTCCATTTCCGCCTTTAAGTATTATAGCCGGCAATACAAGTTGGCTGAGCTTAACCCAACAAAAGCGTAGGCAACTGATACAAGGCAAGTGCTGCCGTCTAGAGAGACGTTGGGCTGAAGAAGACCAATACCAGTGGCCAATATAGACGAGCTTTGCGGAGCTGCCCAAGTTGGTGCGCTATCAGTTATGCATTACGTGAGACAAATGTTGGCGAACGACCCCAAATGAGGTCTACACACGTTGGTGCTTCCCTTTACTCGTTATATTAGGCAAGCGACACCAAACGATGACTAGGCAAGACAAATATGCTGTATATACGTTGGTATTGGCCTTCGTTTGGCCAACATGTATAGGCGGCTTTTCAACCTATGAGGTAGAAGACAAAATTCCATTCTCAGATAGATATTGGTATTATGAGTTTGAGTTTGAATCGAATCTGACAATCCGTCTCAGCCTGTTACACTTTAATAATTATGACAGGGTGGCCAGCAACCTTACGAAATTCTTAAATTAACAAAAACGATTTTAATTTTAAATCGGAGATGAATAAAAGCATATAAATATCTGTTCATGTTATTACATAAAACAAGCCTTCAAAATCATATACGGCTGTCGAAAACTGACTACCACATTTGAACCGTGTCTTTACATAGCTACTGGGACCCTACGGGAATTGGGAACACATTGGGAATCACTGCTCAATGTTCCCAAAATTGAATAACAGCGAATAATATTCCGCATCACAAAACGCATAGGTCGTAGTTTGATTCCGTTTTAAATAAACATATATCTTTCTATTTATAGTCATCATCATCATCATCATCAGTCTATTAATGTCCCCACTGCTGGGGCACAGGCCTTCCCTATGAATGGAATAGGGAGATTGGGCCATGACCCACCACGCGGGCCCAGTGCGGATTGGTGGTTGTTAACAACTGCAGATGCAGCCGGGACCAACGGCTTAACGTGCCTTCCGAAGCACGGAGGAGCTCGAGATAGAAGATTTTTGGTCACCCATCCAATGACCGACCACTTCGAAAGTTGCTTAAATTCAACTATCGCAGCCGAACGCGCTAACCACCTGCGCCATCGAGCTCCTCCTATTTATAGTATTAAAATAAATTCAGTAATGTGTTCCTTAACCCCATAAAGAATAATGATGCAGTTTTCACCATCATGTGCGTAATACAATACCAATATTAGAACGGAAACTATAGTCAACAGCGAAGCGAAGCGAGGGCGGATCACTAAGTTCTTTATAGTTTTTTTTTTATATTATACTAGTGATTTACTCTCACTTCGCTTCCCTGTTGACAAGTGCCTAAGTAGTTTTCATTTCTAGTACCTGTATTATGTCATATAAATTACAGTTAATAAATAGATATGTAACTGATAGTGAAGACCGTATGGCTACATTCATCCATCCATTCTGTAAGTACTTCCTGATATCACCGGGACAGACCAAAGAGGAGAGCTACGACTTGTGTGTAACTTTCATAAAACTAATAATAAAGACTTACCCATAACAAAAATTACGACGCACGTCTTCAACATTTTAAGAAAAATAAATTATAGAAAAGTTCTAAAAAAAAATACTGTTTTAAAAAAAGAACTAAACAATAAGGAAGGCGCACGCGTCTATGCCCGACGCGGCTGGCTGGATTAAGCACACTAAATCGATACACTAGTTTAATCCATTTTGAAATTAGAACGTGATCGAGATATTGATCCGTGGATGTGGTTATGCAACACGCTTAATTGCGAATTCTTGTTTTTTTAATTGTTGTTATTTTAAAAGAATGTCATCTATATCTGATATATTAGCATACAAACGTTTGTGGCACTAGGGCCCGTAAGGTGGATGTTGCTTCTTCAAACGGAAGCTCCAAAATTTAACTGGAAAATCCGCTGTGCTCTACCCTACCCTACCTAAAAGCAGCATCTTAAGATCGTACTCAAGATCGCTCTCAGAATTGAGATGTTCTATAATATGGGTCTAGAAGTTTAAGAGACGTACAGCACCGCGGATTTTCCGGAAAAATTGGAGCGCCCGTCTGGAGAAGCAACCTCCACCTTACGGGCCCTAGTGCTACAGGCGTTTGTGTGCTAAGATAGCAGTCATCAAAACAAATTAAAACCCATACAGATAAGAGTTCAATTTTTTTTTAAAGTTCAAAAATATTAGACTTTGAAATGTGACGCACAAAACTTCGGACCCCTCCCACTACTATCACACAATGTCACACTTCATCGACCCCTTCCCTGGCGTTTGATGCGTGACGTACTTTATGGATCACCCAACGATACTTAATATCGTTCCCCCACCCCAAAATCAATTTTGCCGCCCCTGATTTTTGCCGCTCTGGGCAAATGCCCGGCTCGCCCCCCCTTCGAGCGGGCCCTGTGTGTGTATGTGTATGTGAGTGAGTGTGTGCGTGTGTTTGTTTGTGTGTGTGTCTATGCACGTATGTTTGTGTGCGTGTGAGTGTGCATGCGTGTGTAGTACTTCTTCGAAAATAACAACAATAAAAAAACAACAACCATCAAAGAACCGTCTGGAGAAGCAACCTTACAGAAGACCACCAGTAAGAACCTCACGTCTTGGTGGTGTTCTGTTGTTGTTGTTAGTAGTTAGCTACCTACAACTTTACCATTTTACCATTTTTTTTTCAATAAGAGTTGTGTTTTTCCCGGAAATAGCGTTAAACTGTTTTTCACATTAAAAGACCTTAAAAGGTCACCCCCTTACCCTTCCTGACCTTAAATACCCATAAATATTTTTTCCTCCTTTTTTCTTCCTTTTGCAATAGGTGTCATACTGTTCTAAATTTTTCGCATGACATTTTAAGAGATTCACTTTAATGGCCCTAATCATCGAAGTCACATAAAATATTTATTTCTATATTTTTTATTTTACATGGTATTGTTGCATTGCATAGAGCCATCCATACGATGCGTACTGTACCGTGTCGTTTTCATGTAGGTACGCGAAGGTCAGGCTTAAGCTCGCGGGACCTTGCCACAAAACAGAAACGTACAGAACTCAATCTACATACATAGTGCGCTCGAGCAATGCACACATAGACACCGCTCACGGACATCAATACATACAACTCTTTTGAAATTGTCCATATTTTTTCCCTACCACCAAGAATTCATGTTTATTCTTTGGAATCAGAATTTTTGAAGTGAAAACTTCTTTAGCGGCGTTGTACGCTTTTTTGTAATGGGTAAAAACTGTTAAACTCGCGTCAGGACACGTGGCCAGATCGTGTCATGTCACGTGGCCTGATCGCGTCCGGACACGTGACCTAATCGAAAATTCGTAAGACGAAAACAATAAAATTGGAAAGGTCAATATGAATTGGACCAAAAAATAGTAATATTTTATTTAATCGTATTATAATAATAAGTCTCTCATTAGGACGTCCAGATAGCAGCTTTATTGCGAAGAAAAATATGCATTTTTTTACAATAGATGTCGCTAGGTGCTCTTAAATGTGATTCATGTAAGTTGTTTTTCTGAGAGATAAACTTTTTAAGGTAATATATATTGTCATGTTTGTGTACTATAGCGCAATAAATAAATATTGTATTCTACCACTTAAATGATAGTACTTTTATACTGGTAATTAAAGCAATTCGTGCAAAATTATTCCCTGACCATTCCAAAATATCAAAAATGTACAACGTTAGTATTCAAGTTTTCACTTCTGCCGGCACTCTCGGAGTGCAACCCGTCGTTTTTTTTTTCAACATTAATATTTAAGGTAATGCATATTTGACAGCCGCCCGGGCCGATCGAAAACTCAAGAGCCGGAGTAACGCTAGTGAGTGGCGAAATCTAGTTGGCCTAACTAAACCATTTGGGATGGCGCCACAGTTTTACTTCTAGACTGACGCTAAAAACTGACTGTTTTTAAAAAAGCTTTAGAACAAACAAAATACATGTATAATACTCTATACGAAAAAATACATTATGTATAATACTCTAAAATAGAGAACTTATATAGTTTTTAATGCGATAGTATAGGACACAAACGACACGATGAAGCGCACGCACAATACGCCACACTAATATTATAAAGGCAAAAGTTTGTGAGTGTGTATGTTTGTTACTTCTTCACGTCTAAACGGCTGGAGCGATTTTAATAAAATTTGGTATGGAGTTAGCTGACACCCTGGATTAAACAAAGGCTACGTTTTACTGCTGGAAAATATCACTAATAAACAGCAGATAACACATCGGGGCACGGCTAGTTTGTCATAAATACGACCACTGACTTTCCATTTCCGCCTTTAAGTATTATAGCCGGCAATACAAGTTGGCTGAGCTTAACCCAACAAAAGCGTAGGCAACTGATACAAGGCAAGTGCTGCCGTCTAGAGAGACGTTGGGCTGAAGAAGACCAATACCAGTGGCCAATATAGACGAGCTTTGCGGAGCTGCCCAAGTTGGTGCGCTATCAGTTATGCATTACGTGAGACAAATGTTGGCGAACGACCCCAAATGAGGTCTACACACGTTGGTGCTTCCCTTTACTCGTTATATTAGGCAAGCGACACCAAACGATGACTAGGCAAGACAAATATGCTGTATATACGTTGGTATTGGCCTTCGTTTGGCCAACATGTATAGGCGGCTTTTCAACCTATGAGGTAGAAGACAAAATTCCATTCTCAGATAGATATTGGTATTATGAGTTTGAGTTTGAATCGAATCTGACAATCCGTCTCAGCCTGTTACACTTTAATAATTATGACAGGGTGGCCAGCAACCTTACGAAATTCTTAAATTAACAAAAACGATTTTAATTTTAAATCGGAGATGAATAAAAGCATATAAATATCTGTTCATGTTATTACATAAAACAAGCCTTCAAAATCATATACGGCTGTCGAAAACTGACTACCACATTTGAACCGTGTCTTTACATAGCTACTGGGACCCTACGGGAATTGGGAACACATTGGGAATCACTGCTCAATGTTCCCAAAATTGAATAACAGCGAATAATATTCCGCATCACAAAACGCATAGGTCGTAGTTTGATTCCGTTTTAAATAAACATATATCTTTCTATTTATAGTCATCATCATCATCATCATCAGTCTATTAATGTCCCCACTGCTGGGGCACAGGCCTTCCCTATGAATGGAATAGGGAGATTGGGCCATGACCCACCACGCGGGCCCAGTGCGGATTGGTGGTTGTTAACAACTGCAGATGCAGCCGGGACCAACGGCTTAACGTGCCTTCCGAAGCACGGAGGAGCTCGAGATAGAAGATTTTTGGTCACCCATCCAATGACCGACCACTTCGAAAGTTGCTTAAATTCAACTATCGCAGCCGAACGCGCTAACCACCTGCGCCATCGAGCTCCTCCTATTTATAGTATTAAAATAAATTCAGTAATGTGTTCCTTAACCCCATAAAGAATAATGATGCAGTTTTCACCATCATGTGCGTAATACAATACCAATATTAGAACGGAAACTATAGTCAACAGCGAAGCGAAGCGAGGGCGGATCACTAAGTTCTTTATAGTTTTTTTTTTATATTATACTAGTGATTTACTCTCACTTCGCTTCCCTGTTGACAAGTGCCTAAGTAGTTTTCATTTCTAGTACCTGTATTATGTCATATAAATTACAGTTAATAAATAGATATGTAACTGATAGTGAAGACCGTATGGCTACATTCATCCATCCATTCTGTAAGTACTTCCTGATATCACCGGGACAGACCAAAGAGGAGAGCTACGACTTGTGTGTAACTTTCATAAAACTAATAATAAAGACTTACCCATAACAAAAATTACGACGCACGTCTTCAACATTTTAAGAAAAATAAATTATAGAAAAGTTCTAAAAAAAAATACTGTTTTAAAAAAAGAACTAAACAATAAGGAAGGCGCACGCGTCTATGCCCGACGCGGCTGGCTGGATTAAGCACACTAAATCGATACACTAGTTTAATCCATTTTGAAATTAGAACGTGATCGAGATATTGATCCGTGGATGTGGTTATGCAACACGCTTAATTGCGAATTCTTGTTTTTTTAATTGTTGTTATTTTAAAAGAATGTCATCTATATCTGATATATTAGCATACAAACGTTTGTGGCACTAGGGCCCGTAAGGTGGATGTTGCTTCTTCAAACGGAAGCTCCAAAATTTAACTGGAAAATCCGCTGTGCTCTACCCTACCCTACCTAAAAGCAGCATCTTAAGATCGTACTCAAGATCGCTCTCAGAATTGAGATGTTCTATAATATGGGTCTAGAAGTTTAAGAGACGTACAGCACCGCGGATTTTCCGGAAAAATTGGAGCGCCCGTCTGGAGAAGCAACCTCCACCTTACGGGCCCTAGTGCTACAGGCGTTTGTGTGCTAAGATAGCAGTCATCAAAACAAATTAAAACCCATACAGATAAGAGTTCAATTTTTTTTTAAAGTTCAAAAATATTAGACTTTGAAATGTGACGCACAAAACTTCGGACCCCTCCCACTACTATCACACAATGTCACACTTCATCGACCCCTTCCCTGGCG